TTTTTCATAAAATGTTAGTATGCTTTTTTGGACAACTAATTTTTGTCTGTTGAATTGACTAAAGGGTATTTACTCTTGACCATACCAAAATAATTTTGACACAAGTATATATACAACTTCTGGATCTTAACTAGATGCTCAAGTATTCAGTTTTTTTAGTACTTCCTTCAAAATTAGAGATAAAACATTACCCTAACTTTGGAAAAGATTTATCACTCTGTCAAAATTCAGAAAGCAAATAGTCATTGTTAATATATAGAGTTGTTATTAAATAAATTGCTATAGATCCAGTGATGTTGTAACTAGAGAATCCGACTTTCCACAGTAATATTAGGCATAGGGTAATATTTACTATGTCACTAGAGTAACTAATTAGAGTTTACTTCATTTGAAAGGACAAAACCTATTGCAATGGTCTTATTTCACATTTCCTATAACATCTGTCCAAATGAACAAATGTGTGATATTTTACATTTTACGTTCTTCTGTTTTACAGAACTAATGAAGCAAAATAATTCCTCCAGTGTCATCAATAAAGAAAACACATACATATTTCAGTGGAGTTTTTTTAGTAAAGGTCTCATTCCTTCAAAATTTACTGTTTCTCTGAATGTCAAATTCTTACACTTTTAAAAATTATCCTAGAAGCAGCATAGTAAACTTAACATCTCACTTATTGAGATGTGTATGTTTCTACTGAGAATTATAAGGCAGAGTACAAGCTTCTTTTAACTTTTAATATACAATACAAATATCAAAATATTTAGGTTTTTTTCTTACTTTCATATTAGAGATAAAATAATGCTCTAACTTTGGGAAAGATTTATTACTCTCTGAAAAAGTTAAAGGGGAAATACTGCATGACTAGTATGTAGAATTGTTATTAAATGAATTGGTAAGGATTCAGTACAGCTGAAGCTAGGGAATTCTGACTTTACATAGTTATCTTACAAGTCAAGTGACATACCTTGCCCTCACTACTAGTAGTTCTGATGATAAAAAGGTCAAAAAATTTCCACTTGATCAGCTTTATTATGTAGGATTGTATAAGGCATGGATTATTATGTAGGATTGTATAAGGCAAATTAACATTTGTTAATTTTTTTAGGTAAAAGTTCCAAAATTTAGCAACATGGAAGTTTAAAAAAGAATCGGTGAAATGGTATAATGAAAAAAACCTGATAAAGTCTTCAAAAATGAAATCAGTTGTCTTATTAGAATGAAAAATATGTTCACTCTAACTACTCTGTTTACAGAAAAGCAAAGTGAAAACATTTTAAAATTAGTTCTATTAAATTTTTGAAACAAACTTCCTTTTATTCATTTTATAGCATTTTTTGTTCTACAAGTATATATATTAATAACTTTGTGCATTATGTATTAGAACTACTAAGAATAGCAGTCCTATTATTCTTTATACCATATGATAGCTCTGTTCCCCTTATTATTTCAATTATTAGTAAATACAGAATACATCTTAATGGCATAAAAATTCCCAAATTAGTTCTTTGTACTTCATTCAGAACTCTGTACATTCATGTATCAAAGTACACTCATGTATCTTTTAAAGATTTATTTATTTATTTGAGAGAGAGTGAATGAGCGAGAAGATGGTGGGGAGGAGCAGAGAGGAGGAAAACATCTTAAGCAGACTCTGTGCTGAGTGAGGAGCCCCAGGTGGGGCTTGATCTGACAACGCTGAGATCAGGACCCTGAGATCATGACCTGGAGCTGAAAAGGATTGGAAGCTTAATGGACTGTGCCACCCAGACACCCATTATGTGTCTTTATTTACTAATGACATCACAAATACTGTGGTTAAGTATACTTATATACTTAACCAAAGTATATAACTTAAATATATAAGTATAAACTTTGATTAACCGAAGTTAATCGGGGCATAGCTTTGAAAAACACCATGATGTATTTACAAATCCAAATGATTTTTTGGATTTTTTTTTTAAAGATTTCATTTATTTATTTGAGAGAGAGAGAGAGAGAACATGAGCTGGGGGAGAAGCAGAGGGAGGAGCAGAAAGAGAGGGACAAGAAGACTCTGTACTAAGCACCAAGCCCCGACATGGGCTTGATCACAGGACCCTGAGATCATGACCTGAGCCAAAATCAAGAGTCTGATGCTTAACCACCTAGGCGCCCCCACATTTATTATTCTTTATTATGTTGCTTCATTTTTCTCAGAACCATTATATACTTATATATATATATCATACTAATGATTTTTTTTAAGATTAGCTTTTATTTTAAAACAAAATAACTTCTTCATTACACATTGAATAATACCAATTCCCTTTAATAATACCCTCAGAACACACACTGAAATGATCCAGCTCTTCATGTCTCCCTGCCTACCACTCTGGGACATGTCTCTGTCTTCTCTTGCTTGAACTTCCAAAATGTTTCATTGCTTCCATGCTTGTCTCCTTAATCATTTTTCATCAGAAATAGTAATCTTTGTAAACTAGAATAATACCAGGATACTTGTCTGCTTAAAACTCGCCAGTGGTTTCCTTTCATGGAAGATAACTCACTTCCTGCCAGTTGTCCTTACTCTCAAACCACTGTCCTGAGTGTTTGTTTTACACCAATTCACTGAGCACTCCCATTCTTTGAACTGGCCAAGTGTGTGTGGGCTGCTCACTCTTCCTTCTGGCTAGAAACTAGTGCTTGTTAAGCATGTGTGGCTCCTTTTGTCATTGAAATCCCATTTATCATCTACTCACCTCACTTTCTCACCCTTACTTATTGCCATCTGTAATTATCTTTTTGATGTGGTTGGGTTTTTGTGTGCGTGTGTATCTCTTATCACTAAAATGTTTTACAAGAGCAGAGCCTTACTCGCAGCTGTATCTCTTATGCACCTAGAACAGTAGCCATTATGTACTATTCTTTCAAATGTGTCATAAAAATACTTCCCCACTAATGAGGGTCTTCCTGCACGGTGGGAGTAAAGTAGAAGACTACTGGGAAAATTAATTTAGACAAAATTCAAAGTTACAACATTAATCTGAATGCTCTTCAGCCACAGAGAGGAACTTCAGAGGCTAGCCAGACAGAAGCCTCACCAGATGTCTCAATATAGAAATTTACCCTTTCTCAAAATAGAGTTCAGAGCATCACGCTGGAACACATGAAATTAAACCAAACAAGTAAAACAACAATAACAAAATACTGTATAACATTCTCCTTGAACAGGTTTGACTTATTTTATTCTGTCCGTCCTTTGGCTCAGTTCAGAAAATATGGTGTCTTCCTTGGCACCTCCTTTTCTCCCACAGCCTTTGTCCAACCATCAGTACACCTTGGCAGGTGTATGCTCAAAATTTATCTAAAATCGGTCTGCTTTTCTGTATCTCTACTGGTAGTCCCCCCGCTGTCATCCCTCACCTAAAGTTTTGCAAGAGTTCCCAGTAGGTCTCCCTGCTTCAACTCCTACTTCACTTCAATATATTTTCCATGCAATGCTCAGTCATTTATTTAAAAAGTTCAAGTCCTATGTCACTTAGCTCATGATGCTCCAGTTCTTCCCCTCTCTCTTGGAACAAAAGTCAGACTCCTTACAGTGGCCAGTATCTGATTTTTTGCTACATTTCTGGCCTCAGCTGTGGCCACCTCACTGTTCTTGGAACTTGCTAAAAGCATGTGTCCAAGTTCAAGGCCTTTCACTTGTCATTTCTCCTTCCTAGAACACTCCCTGCCCCCACCCCATTTCCACCTGATTTGCTTCTTCATTTTCTTTATATACAATGCATGATAGTTACCATCAAATAATCAATGGAGATATGTATTAGAAAATAGTGAAAACCTTGTTTTAAATATGTGGCCTAGCTTAGACTGTACAACAATGGATTCTTGAGTCAGAATGTTTAAGTTGAAAAACCACTGGAAATTTCCTTTTAAGTTTCCTATTGTAAAATGCTTGCGTGGCTCATAGTAAATGCTCAGTTAACACCAATATTATTATTTCAGTATGGTACCTGCCTAACATTTGTAATTATTGAGACATAGCTACAAGTGGGCTAAAAATATAATTTGCCTATTATTTTTATACTGGAAAGCATATCTTAAATTTTTTCTATACTACTAAATAGCCTTAAGTGACAAAAAATAATCTTGAGTCCTATTTATATTTTGATATGTGATAGAGACACCGTAATTTAACTACTACTCCATTACTGTAAATTGTTTAGCTTCCAGTTCTCTTTTATTACTTTCAGTTCTCTTTTATTACTGATATTATACTGTCTTTTATGTATTAAGATTTTTTTAATGTAAATATATGGATTCATGGTTGTAAGATTCTTCAGGTTGAAGTATCCATTTGATATTAGCCTCAAGAAAAGTAAACTAAATAAATAATGTCCTAGTCACTTCTTTAAATTCATATAATTTAAAATTTTTGTACTAAAAATCCACTTGCTCACATTGCTTTTTATAAGTAGAAAGAATTAAATATATCATAAGAAAACAATAGAATATAAGAAAATGTAATTAACCTTTTCTATGAAAACTAAGAAATAACTTCTTGTCTGCCAAATTGGTATTCATCAATAAAGAATAACACAAGGACATTGTTTGGAAGTGGCCCCTAAAAGTAATGATAACAAGAAAGAAATTGAATTTTTAGTTTCAGCTCGAGACTGTTGCACCTGTTTGATCATTTGGCAAAGCTGCCTTTCTTTTGTTCAGGAGGCAAAGTGACTGATTGATCCAGTTACCCTACTGTTAACCCATTCTGCAGAGAACTTCTATTTATAGCCTTGCCAGAGGAATACTATTCTCTTGAGAATTAAATGACCCCAGGTGGTGAAACCTAGATATAAAGACATGAGGCATTGATTAATTTCTTCCCTATTTATGTAAGGCTGTTTTTCCGGTGTTTTACTCAACTGAATAGATCAAAATCTGTAAAAAGCCTATCTGTAGTAAGTCGGATGGAATATTAAAAAGCCATACTTCTTATTCTCTTCTCTAAATTTCAGTATAAAGAATGTAACTCCCAAAGTAGGAGACCCTGAAACCCGCAAAGCTATTCGCCGTGCCTTTGATGTGTGGCAGAATGTAACTCCTCTGACATTTGAAGAAGTTCCTTACAGCGAATTGGAAAATGGCAAACGCGATGTGGATATAACCATCATTTTCGCCTCTGGTTTTCATGGAGACAGTTCTCCCTTTGATGGAGAGGGAGGGTTTTTGGCACATGCCTACTTCCCTGGACCAGGAATTGGGGGAGACACTCATTTTGACTCAGATGAGCCATGGACACTAGGAAATCCTAATCATGATGGTAAGTGCATAGCTTTTTTTCATTGCAGATTGTTCTGTTTTTATTTCTATTTTTGGAATGCCCAGGTGATTTACTAATTTAAAAACTTTTAAGGTGTTGGTTCCAAATTTGCTTTTAAAATGATAAAACATGATATGAAGCTTTTCCATAACATTTTAGAACAAGAATTTGTATGTCACTGCCAGTAGACATTGCTAGTTTTTTGTGTGGTCTGTGCCTAGGAATTAGAACTTTACACTGTGTTCTGTAAATAAAGTGAATTTTGTTTTCTATAAAATGGCATTTAAAAGACTTCATAGTATTTTAAGTCATGGAACATGCTTAAGGAAATTCTGCCATTTTTTTCTACACCATATTGCAGTGTTTCCACTTGAAACTTAACCTGCTTAACATTTGTGATGTAGCTTCTGCCATCTTCCTTTTCTTTTCTTTTCTGTTATCACCTTTCTAGTTTGCAAAATTTTGCTCCTTTCATCCTTATTTCCATTTTCTTGGTCTCCCAGTATGATATGACTACATAATTTATAACTTTATATTATATCTTTCTTTATTTTTATTCAAAAAACAACTTTTTGCAAATCTATTCCAACAAATCTGTCAGATTTTTAATCTTTATAATTATTCTGATATGCAAAAATAAATTTTAAAAAATTCGATAACTGAAAGAATAGTTATTTCACATAAGAAGCATGTGTTTCTTCCTACACAACAATCCATACTTCAATTTTATGTTTAAAAAAAATTCACATAATTATGAGATCCTAGAGTTAGAAGATTCCTAACTATCCACCTCTTACAATTCTTGTAATCAAGACTTAAATATTTTTCTTCCTCACTGTAGTAGAATGTTGTTGAAAATACAGCATGCATTGTTGTAATGACAGCTAATCAGCTAATAAAACTCTTAATTCCTCCTTGATGAGTTAAACTCAGCCATTAAATTAAGCTATGTTAGTTCATCAGAAAGTTTAGTTAGTTGAATTAGTCTAATAGCCTTGCATTTTGAGAAAGCACAGAGTTCAAACATATGGATAGAATGAAGTAAGTTGAATTAAATTTAAAATAACATCAGTTTTCAAAGAAAGAAAATATAATAAATACCTGTTCCTGTTTTCCAAAAGAAAATAAAATATCTAATATACAATAAAATGGCCTTTTGCATTGTTCTTACTAGGTATATTGACTATGAACTTATGACTTCATTCTTAAGAACTGATTTGGAGACAATGGCAAGTATGCTGGGAGATTTCACTGTATAGTAGGGTAATGAAAGCCAAACTTTGAAGTTGAGCAGGCGGCATTCAATTCCTGGCTAACTGATCATTAGCTCAAGAAGCCTCTACCATGCTATATACCTATTCTCACTCTGGATGTTGTATTGTAAGGCTGGGACATTGCAAGTAGACATGCTTTCTATTCAGGAATGTTTAACCTAGGCTATGCCTGAGCATCCAATAATAAAATATTTGCAATGTAATAGTAGGCCCACACTGGTTTGATACATAAATCATTTAAAAATTAACTGTGTTTATCTTACTTCTAAATTTTTTTTTTATTAAGTGTGCTCCACACCCAATATGAGGCTCAAACTCATGACACAAACTCTGATCCAAAGACCTGAGCTGAGATCAAGAGTCAGATGCTCAACCAACTGAGCAACCCCAGCTGCCCCTATCTTGTTTTTATCAAAATTACACAAGTATTCTAATGAACAAGTTCAGACATCTTCAATTGAGTTGTTAATATAAATGTTTGCATTCTAAATGATTGAGAAGAATAGCACTTCTAATGGTAGAATTTTGCTGATTGAGGCAAAATTGTATTTGCTTCTGGGAAGACTTCTTCTAAAATTCTAAACAGAGAAATTTTTTTTATTCTAGTAATTACAATTCCAAAATTGTATTTTATCCTAATAATAGACCCAGTTGTTAAGGCTACTATAAATCTGGAGCTTTGAAGTCTTGTTAATTTGGTGATGGTGCCTATCAAATGGCCTATATTTTCTCTTAAAATATTGAAATCCTTAAGAAAGCTGCACACATTTTTTAGATATATCCTTTATTAGCTGCATTTTTTTAGGTATCAAGAAATACTTTTTGAAAATAAAAAGCTTTAAGAAAAAATCTATAGGAATATTTGAGATGACAGGAGATTAGAATGTTTACGCTGATTTAAGTGTAATTGCTGTTATGAATGCTTCTGGGTTTTTGCACAACTTAAGAGGTTTTCCAAGGAATATATATGTGGAATAAAATTGAAATAGAACATAATGAGCTAAAGATACAAAAGCATGTCAATGGACTTTTGACTCAGATTATGTATTAATGCATTTGCCTCTCAATTTACACTATAGAAATATAATAATTTTGTATGTAGGCATTCTATTAAGACAAAACAAATTACTTAATAATTAGTGTTTTATTTGGAAGAAGATTTTTTTTTTTTACTGATCACATATACACATTTTTTCTTTTGAGTGAGCTTAAGGAAAATGACTACAAAATCATAGTATTTCAGAATCGTAGGGGATTAGAGAGAAGTTAACTGTCTGCTCAAGATGTAATACCATAAAGATTTACTGCTTAATTGAAATTCAGACTTTTAACTAGCAACAGCAGGGCAGCTAGGGTGGTGTCATGCTGAAGTATTGATCATTTATCAAAAGAACAGCCTCTAGCTTTGCTGTGTTGCTGGTGAATGTAGGGAGAATTAATGCCTTTGTACATCCTAGATCCTAACTGTCTATAAGATTATCTTTTTGTATCACATATATCCAAGGAATAATTCTGACATCTTCATTGATAAACTTCTTTTCTTTAGTCCTCAAATGCCCCCAAGCTTACTTAACTGAAAAATTTTCTTTCTTTCCTATTCACAGCTCTTAAGCACCTAGAAAACAGAGCAGCTTGATAATTTAGCAAAAATGCAAATGAAAGAGCCTCTTGATAAGCACCTAGCTCATTTTCCACAGCATATTGCTCAGCTAATGAAGGCAATTTGAATTCTGTCTACCTCAAAAGAGATAAACAGTGTCTCGGGCTGCCAGTAACCTTTAATTCATTGTTATCCACTTTCCTATCAATTTGCTTATAGTCATGATACCTTTCAAAAACTCAAGCTAAAACCCATTAAGTAAATTATACAATAATTATATTACAATAAATAAATAAATACCACACACACACACACACACACACACTCCCCTACCTAATAAAAATAATGCCACTTTTTCCAAGAGGTTTTTTTTTGTTTTTTTTTTTTTACCCCCATGGAGTAGATAAGCCAAACATGTGCATAGTAGTTCTAAATAGAAAATGTAACTGTGATATGGTGGGGTTTTTTTGAAAAGTATACTTTGCCTGAATGTGAGTTGGAAAATTTAACTCTAGCAAACTGTTAAGATTCATTTTGAGCATCATTATCATATTGTTTCCTTGGCTACAGTATAAAGTTTAAACGGCACTATCAACATAAACACAAACTTATCACAAAGATCCTTTCTAATTAGAAAAGTATGTACCACAGTAATAGGATTTCAAACTGACAATCTCTAAGCAAAAAGGTTAAATATTAAAATGTTATATAAAACTACAGCAGGAAAATATCTAGAGGCAAATCTTACTATACCATAGAGTTGCAATTCTATTAACAAGAAGAATGCATGGCATTGGTTCCGTTTATTATCAGAAAAATCACTGCCGGAAATAAGATGGTCAGGAGGTGCTCAGGGCTGCTATGGCTGTTTGTCTAAAAACTAGGGAGAGAGAGAGAGATGATGCTAACAATTTTATCATCAAAAAATTTTTATCATCAAAGAAAAGTTTATCATCTTTATCAAGAAAGCAAAACCCTTAAAACCTAGTCCATCATCGTGATGGTTAGTTTTGTGTGGGCTAAGGGGAGCTTGTATGGAGTTTTGTGCGGGCTAAAAGGAGAACACATATAGTGAATACATATAATTTCTGGATGTGTCTGTGAGGGTGTTTCTGGAGGAGATTAGCATTTGATTCAGTAGACTGAGTAAAGAAGATCCTCCTTCCCCAATGTGAACAGGCATCATCCAGTCCATTGAGGGCCAAATAGAAAAAGAAGAGGAAGGGGTAATTTTCTCTCTTTTCTTGAGTTGAGACACATCTTTTCCTGCCCTTGGAGACCAGAACTCCTGGTTCTTGGGCTGTCAGTCTCTGACTGAATTATGCCTTTGGCTTTCCAGGTTCTCCAGCTTGCATATGGCAGGCAGATCGGGAGACTTCTCAGCTTCCATAACCTTTTGAGCTAATTCCTATAATAAATCTCCTCTTAAATATCTGTATAGATCCTATCGGTTCTGTTTTTCTGGAGAGTCCTGGCTAATATAACCATTAAATGTGAAGCAGTCAAATTCTACATGTAAGCCAGCTCATTCTCTGAATAAATCTAGTTGATGTTAAAACTCTTCATGATGGGATGCCTGAGTCAATGGACTTGATTTGTGTTGACTGGGGAGAGTTAACTTTCTATAGGAGACATTTTGTCATTGGCACACTAGAGATGAGTTGGTGCCAAGAAGTAGACTTAAGCCTTAACCAGCTGTCTGCTTTTTCCCAAATTTTGTGCTCATTTTGCAACTGTAACTGCTTTCTAATATTTTTCCAATGCTTACAGGATCTTAACCTTGATCTTTGAGGACAGGAAAAGTTGGATGCCAAACAGATATTTACCAAGAGGCCTGGAAGTGCTATAGTCTGTGGGAATATTGTCCAGATCAATCTTTCCTGTGCTTTTTGAAGACAAGGGAATCATTTGATAGGACGAGGCAGTCAAGGCCCTTAATCTATCCTTAAAAGCAGAGTACTTATTGAGATTTTAAAACCTAAAAATATTAGCTTTCTACCACATAGTTCTTACCTTACCATGTTTTACCTTGGAAGCTCTCTCTCTCAAATTAACTTGGCTTTTCAAATCTGTAATAGAAATATTTTTGTGTGTTTTTAAAAACATGACTTCTGGGGCACCTGGGT